TCATGTAATTATCAACCCAGGTCCAGTCACGTGCTTCTTTGTGTCTCTAGTTTGGCTTTTCTCATTCATTACTCCACAACAACAACAACAACAAAAAAAGGCAAACAGATTTTGGAAGATAAATACATACCCAAAGACACACACAGATAACTAGTTATTGCACATCCTGGTTTTCTCGAATGCTTGGGTGCAATATATCACCCTATACTTCAACTGTACGGTCAATTTGATTCTGAGAAAGATCTCATACTACATAGTACCATTAAAAAAAACAGAACTAAGCACACTGACATTGAGTTGATTCTGACTCATAACAATCCTGTACAAGATTTCCAAGACTGTAAATCTTGAGGAGACCAGTCACCCTCATTTTTTCCTGCAGAGAGCTGTGTGTTTGAAACCTACCTACCTCACAGTGCCATCAAGTTTACTAAATATCCCATTTACTAAGCAGTAGCCAGTGGTATATTCTCCAGCTCAAATTATCATGGTGTTTGAAAATGTATTATTCTATCTTTCAAAAGAGAATTCTAAGTAAATTAAAATATTATACAGTAAGGTGTTATCTATGGACAGGTGCAAAGTTGTGAAGTGTTACTATGCTACATAAGTATGTCTACTGAATACAGTAATACAAAAAGCTGGGTTGTATTTTGTATATATGTATCCACATTTTCCATTCCATTTATATAGTAAATAAAAAGAAACTGGGAATTAAAGAAATTTCTTTCTATATGTCTCTTAAGAATCACTTTTAGAGATTATAACTGAAGACTACATAATGCGGGACGCTACTGTGAAACAATACTCGAAGTGTTTATCACAGTGTATTTTTAAATGTGTCTATTTAAAATGAAACAAAAAGTCAAGCTCCTCGCCAGAGTAGATATCAACTCACGGCAGCCTAGAGCAGGACTCTTCGTAGGGTCTCTACGATTAATCTTTACAGGCGCAGTCAGTCTCATCTTCCCCTATGTTTGAACTGCTGACGTGGTAAACAGTCCAGTGCTTACCCCTCTGCACCATTCCTCACATCTCTTTAGGGCAACTAGAAAGTCACTTTAAAATTACTAATCGGAGCCCTGGTGGTGCTGTCAGTAGGTGCTGGACTGCTCACCTTAGGGTCCACTCCTCTGGAGAAAGATGAGGTTTCTGCTCCTATAAAGATTTACAGCCTATGAATCACTATGAGTCCTAATCAATTTGATAGCAGTGGGGATTTGGGGTTATAGGATTTAATGTGTTTCCATTGCTTATGACTACTTCACCAGTCCTAGATAAAAGTTTCTAGATTGAATTGTGTCCTCCCAGAAAAGATTTGCTGAAACCCTATCCCTGTACTTGTGAATGAAAGCATGCTTAGAAATAGGGCTTGGCTTCATAACCTGAGTGGGTGGAATGCTCTGGGCTAGAGGGGCTGAATGGGACGAGGGGAGACCTTCCTCTAGAGCGAGGGTTGTTGTTGTTGTTGTTGTTGTTGTTGTTAGGTGCTGTCCAGTTGTTTCCAACCCATAGTGACCCCAGATACAACAGAATGAGACACAGTCCGGCCCGGGCCACCCTCGCAATTATTCTGGTTTGAGCCCATTGTTGCAGCCCCCGTGCCAGTCCATCTCCTCAAAGTTTTCCCTTTTTTAAAAAAGAAATAGTTATTTAATGAGAATTGGTCACAAAGTTTTTCCTCTTTTTCTCAGCCCATGTCTACCCAGTATAATGCTCCTTCCCAGGGTCTCTCCTGATAACATAACCAAAGTAAGAGAGAGGAAGGCTTGCTTCTCAGGAGTGTTCTGGCTGTATTTCTCCCAAGGCAGATTTGTTGGTTCTTTTGTCAGTCCGTGGTACTTTCAATATTCTTCTCTAGCACTACAATTCAAATGCATTGATTCTTTGTTGCTCTTCAATTAGGTGACTGAAAATACCATGGCTTGGGTCAGGGGTATCCTGGTCCTCAAAGAAAAGGAGTGGGAGCCTTTTTACTGTCCAGGGCCATTTGGATATTTATAACAGAGTTTGCAGGCCATACAAAATTATCATCTTAAAGATTAACATGTTTGGTCAAACTTTTACTTTTTAAAAATTTTTATAATTATTATTAAAAAAAAGATTTTATAGTTTATTAATTCTTTAGTGAAAAATCCACATAACCAGTGCTGATCAAGTCACTGCAGAATCTTTATTCTTTCTTTTTGCCAGCACCAACGTTGGTCTCTGCAGTACGCCTAAATTCTGTTCTTGCGTTCCTTGCATTGCTTTCTTCTCATACAGGCCATGTCTCGCAATTCTCTGTTTAGGTTAATTTCTCTTTGCATAATCCAAAGAATAGTAATCCATGCCGAAGCCAGTAGTCTTGCAACCACCAAAATGGGTTCTAAATACAAACACAAAAGTGGCATCTGGTGTGGTCTTGTACATTTTGGCCAGTGTTTCATGAATTTCTGTCTTAGGCACTGCTGTTTTCCCAGGATGAAGGACATCAGTGACCATTTGTTTTTACTGAACTAGTCGGCTGGTCATGAACTTCCTGGTCCGGATAGTTACCGTGCCATTCATGATGGTGGAAGACGCTCGGGCAGCCAGAGACAAAAAGGAGGGCAAACTTTTACTTAGCTCATCCCCAATGTTAAGGCTGCAACTGCTTCTCTTTCGTGATGCAAATGATGTTAGTTGGCATTGATGATTTCATGCGCCTTATATGCCCACAAGGCCAAGTGCTCCCCACCCTTGTTCTACAGCCAACACAGAGAGTGCAGAGTCTTGCTGAATAGCTGAAAATGGACCTGTAGCCTCAAAACTGTGCAAGAATAAATTTCTGTTCATGAAGGTTACCAATGGGTGTTATATTTGTTATCGCAGCACTAGGAGACTAAGACAAAGGAACAGAAAACGTTCAGAATTCCACAAACTAACTTCTTTCTTCTGTCAGGCAGAAGATGTATTCTACCATTCTAATTGATTTGTATAAATTTCACTTCAAAATTAGTTTAATATAATAAAAGACCATAAAAATTCCAAATGGGCTTGTTTTAAAAGATGTCAAGTTTCCACAGGGAGGGGGGAAATAACAGAAAGGTAATGAATAATTTTTGATCATTTGATAAGTTGCATGAAAAGATTACCATCCAAGATTTAAAAAAAAAATTTTTTTTTAATTTCCCCCCCAAGATTTCTTAAGAATTTATGGCTATATGTCTAAAACAGGTTCTCAAATAAATCTTTGTACATACTTGTTCATAATACACTACTCATAATAGCAAAAAATGGAAACAACTCAAATAATCTTCAATAGATGAAAATGTGGTATACAACAGGAGGGAAGGCGGGGGTGTAGAAAGGGGGAATTGATCACAGGGATCTACATATAACCTCCTCTCTGGGGGACGGGCAGCAGAGGGGTGGGTGAAGGGAGACGCTGGGCAGTGTAATATAAGATATAATAATAATTTATAAATTATCAAGGGTTTATGGGGGAGGGGGACAGGAGGGGGAAGGGAAAAAAGGAAAATGAGCTGATTCTGGGTACCCAAGAAGAAAGCGAATTTTGGGAATGATGAGGGCAACAAATGCATAGGTGTGCTTTACACAATTGATCTATGTATTGTGATGAATTGTATTAGCCCCAATAAAATGATTGGGGAAAAAAAAGAAAATGTGGTATACAAAGGGGCTTCAAAAAGTTCGTGGAAAATTTGCATTGCCTTTTAACTCCAGTTTCCCATTAATTTTTGAAGGATCTTTGTATATAAGCCTGGTGGAGTAGCACTGAGGGGCTAACCACAAGGTCAGGGTATCGAACCAACCAGCCGCTTGGCAGGTAGAAGATGAGGCTTTCTACTCCTGTAAAAGTTGGTCTTGAAAACCCACAGGAGCAGTTCAACCCTGCCCTACATGGTCGCAAAGAGTCAGAATTGAGTTGATGTCAGTGAAGTGTAGTATAAGAAAATACCCGAACTTTTATCAATAATTTAAAAGCTGCATGTGCAGCAAGTGCACGTGATTTGGATGAAGAATTTATTGCGGATATCATTTCACACTGAAGGCACGTTACATAACATTAAAAGGCAAGTAGGCATTGTTTGTAGTCATTTGTACCACAGGGACTGACTGACTGCCTCATACAATGGGGTATTAGTCATAAAGTGGGATGAAGAGGTGATATTTGCTACACTGTATCTGAATCTCAAGAACATTATAATAAGTGAAAGAAGCTAGGTGCAAAGGTCACATATAATATGATTCCATTCATGTGAAATATTCAGAATAGGTAAATCCATGATGGTAGCTGAAACATATTGTGACTGTACTAAATGCCAAGGAATTATTCACTTTAAAATAGTTGATTTACGTTATGCAAATGTCACATGGGGTGGGGAAGAGCCCATGCTACTGATGTGGTTACCTCAGATCAATTACCTCTGCTGACCATCTAACAGTATTGTATATTTTTGCTATTATCTGAAAATTCATTCCACCACACAGAGTAAACTATACCAACTGTGATATATAAAAAACAAATCATTATAAATACAGCGTGATTCATGGAGGAAAAAAAGATTGTAACTGTCAGTAGTGAAAAGGTGTCTGCATATTTGAGGCTATATTTTCTTATGGAACAAGAAAAAGACTTTGGGCCCAGAGATATATATTCTCAGTGTACCAATAAATTTATAAAGTTAACAACAAACAAGAACACCACAATTCCTCAAACCAACCCCTGAATATTCAGGAATTTATAGACTAAATTAAAATCTATCTCTAATTATTCAGTTTGAGAACCACACATTTATTTAAAGGCCAGTGGCAGTGACCCATTTTTATAAGACCACTTAGGAGTTGTCATCAAAATTAGTTTATTTAGTTTTTTTTTAAAGACTGGTTTTATTACTTAATCCATTATTTTATGTCAGAACATTACATTTATTTCTAAAAAAATGGTACATTTTCTAACTTCATATGTCATTGTACAGTTAGCCTGAATTAAGTATTCATAAAACTATACTTACATATTCTTTCACATTTTTTGCTTTCACAGCTTTGTATGAATAATATGCAGGATACAGCATTCCAAACACCAACCTAAAAGTAAAAAGTATGAGAATAGGAATCAAACACAACTATCATTTTAACAACTCATGAAAACTTCATCTTATACAACAGCTAAAAGTTCATGGGAAACACATGACAGTGTAAATCTGTGTGCTTGACTCAAAATTCAACCTCTGATTCATTGTGACCCTATCAAACAGGGTAGAACTACACTTGTGGGTTTCCGAGACTGTAACTCTTTACAGGAGTAGAAAGTCTCATCTTTCTTCCGAAGAGCATCTGGTGGATTAGAACTGTTGGCCAATTCATAACCACTATGCCATCAGGGCTCCTGTGTATAAACTATACCCACTCATAAAATCAAAGTTGAAAAATGCTTTCTACAAAAAGATAATTATAATGTTTCAATATCATATGAATAAAGTGTTCTATTTCTGAAAATATTTTAATCCTCCTAATCTCACACACACACACACACACACACACACACACACACACACACTTCCTTGAAGAAAGTCACCAGAAACAAAATAAAAATTGTCCCAATCCCACCAGTCAGAGGTAATTACAGAGAGCATTTTAATGTATATTGTACTTTTATCTGTGTGCATAATAACCCTAAAGACACAAATTTGTGGTAAGGAAAATGCTGTCCTTCGTTGCCATCAATTTAAGCAGCACTGGTTTCTAAGTGTGACACTGTGGCTACGGAGTGATAGCTTATACATTTATGATAACACATGAAGATAATTCTTCAAAGGTGCTGTGAAGTAGCTTTAAATCACTAAGACAATTAATTTAACACCATGTTTTAAGATTATTTCACCCAATTTCAGATCTAAGAGATAAACACATAAAATGAAAGGATAATCACAGAACTGTATAATTGAGTATAGATTTTATAATTGACATTTTTGAGGGGCCTCAAATATTATTCTATGGTTTTAGTGTTAATGTCTGCACTGCACCCCATAGTGAGATTTCTATTGTTTACATAAACAATTCCATGTTCATAGGCTCTGGTTAATTTATGAGCTTTTCCTATTGTTCACAACATTTCCCAAAACCACATTTTTTTAGTATGTGCACTGATGGTCACTTCCTGGCTTCAAGGTTGCAACTTTATAAGGACACGGTTAGGGTTTTTAACCTATTATCAAAATGTCCCCCAGAGAAGCTGCTTCCATTTAAATTTCTACACAGTGGATATCACCATTAATGTTAAATAATAATAATCCTAAAGGAGAGGCTTTGCCAGATATATAGGAGAAAAACAATAACCTCACATCTGTTTTAATCTGCATTTCTGAATGCCAGTAAGCTTAATGTATTTTTCAAGTATTTACTAATCTTTTGCTGCATGGAGTGTGGAATGTCTTTTTGTCTGTTTTTAAAAACAAGCATGTTATTTGAAAATAGTTTTACAGAAAAGCTGCAGAGATAGTACATGTATTTATCATATACTTCACATCGTTTCCCCTATTCCATCAGTGTGTGCCAGCTAACATTAGTGTGGTGCACATGTCACAATTAGTGAGTCAACAAGGAGCTCTGATGGTGCAGTGGTCAGGCAGTGGGTGCTCACTGAAAGGTTGGAGTTTTGAAACCAGAGGGAGAAAGCTGTAACAGTCTGATCCCGTCAAATTTTATAGCCTTGGAAAACCTAATGAACAGTTCCATGCTGTCCTGTATACAGGGTTGCCAAATGTCAGAATCAACTAGCTTGACGGCAAGGGGTTTGGGTCAAATGAGCCAATAATGACACACGGTTCATGAACTAAAGTCCAGCCTTTGTTCATATATTTTATAGGCTAACCCTCGATTGAAATGTGATGTTTTCTTCATGATTAAACTGGGATTATGAATTTTGGAAGGAAGACCACAGAAGTAAAGTACCACTCATCCCATTATAGAGAAGAGGCGCAGGCTAGCAACATGACTTTTGTTAACCTTGATCACCAGGCCTGAAGTGGTGTTTATCAGGGTTCTCCCCTGTAAGGATTTCTCCCTCTCCTTCCCCTTTCATGCTGTACTGAAAGCAAGCCACAAGGGGCAAACCATTCTTAAGGGAGAACAGTTTTGCCCTATCTCCTGGAAGACTGTATCTATGCAAATTATTTGATTCTGTTTCCCACATTTGTCTGTGCTTTCCCAGTTAATTATTTAACCAATCATTTGTATCAGTCTGAATTTGGGGTTTTTACTTTACAATTTGGTAATAAACCTATACTACTTAATATTGTTGTCCAAAGCTTTGGTCACTGGGAGATCTTTCAATTAGTCCCTGTATTCCTTTGGCATACTCTTATCACTGGGAAATTTGGAAGTACTCTCATTTTCAGACACTGCAAAATGCTCCAGGCTTATCTTGTCTTTGAGGGACCTAAAAGAAGGCCATCGTAAAAATGGAATTAAATGATGATGACATTTTTCTAAGAACTTTTTAAAGTTCCCTCATATTTCCCAACCAGTCCTAGAATTGATCATTTCACTAAAGAACACTAGTCTTTTTATTGGAGAAGTATATCAGAATCCAAGACCTGGGTGCTATGTGTGCTTTTAGCTACTGGAATATTGGCGATTCTACCTGTATTCATTGCCAATGATGATGGCTCTCCATGGAAATTGTAGGGGTCAGAGTAGAATTGCCTCCACTGGGTTTTCAAGGCTGTATATCTTTACTGGAAAGAGTCTGTCACGTCTTCCTCTCATGGAAAAGCTGGTGGGATTTCCTTTAAGTTAGCAGTTGAGCACTTAGCCACTGTGCCACCAGGGCTCTTGTTGATTCTAGGTCCTGCTTGTTAACTATTATATTTTTAAGTTATGGCTACTGTTTGATTTTGTGCCTGAATTTTGCTGGCATGTATATACTGTGTTTTTGTGAATTTTTATATTTTGTTTTTATTTATATTAAATAAGCCTTCCTAGCTGTGAGTGCAAATAAATTATCTATCAATCTATCTACAGGAGCACAGTTTCCATATCTGCCAGGTGTTCATCCTCCTTGTAGACACTAGGCATGTATCATCCCATATTAAGAGCACAGTAATATTTTATGTATTCACAGTAACTATTTTAATCTATCTAATGTTTTCATTTAGAATTTAAATATAATCATGTATTATCTTCAACACTCTCATACAATTTGGTAGCAAAGACTTAAATTCAAGCTGAGTCTTCATCCACCCCTGGGTGGATCTTTAACTCATACTATATCCATCCAATATGTAACCAACTCCTGTTGGTTCTTCCTTGGTGGGAATACATGCATCCATCTCCCTCTTTGATTTTGAACCTGTGACCAATGATACATTTGGGCTCATGCCATCTCATCTGACTTGCACATTCCTCTGACTCCGCCGTAAGACTGATTTTCTTAACATACCTGTAGCATCCTTTCCTTTAAGACTCCAATTGCTGGCCTCCTCACCTCCATGCCAGCCAGCCCCTGTAGGGGCTCATCAGAACATTTTTTGAAAACCACCGCCTTATAGATACTATCCATTCGAACATGGTTTCCTCAGTATGCCTCTTATATTTCTATAAGAAGGCCTCCCTCATTCCCCATCTTTATTTCTCCCCTTTATTCCCATTCTTTTCTTTTCTACCTTTTTATTCCCCTTGTCTAATTAAATTATATCTTTCTTCAAGATCTACCTCTCCTATATAGATTTTTAAATTACTTTCATTTTGACTTTTAGTAGACTTTGACAGGATTAATTACTCTTAATTTAGCACATTCAATTTTAAATTGTTTAAGATATTTTTGATGTATTTACCTGACTTCCAGCAAGGGCTCAGTGCTAGTTGATATGATGTAATATCAACAATATACATATTTCATTTGGAAAGATTAAATGCCTCAATGAATAGTGGAACAAATTTTTAAGGACCTCCCTTAGAGCATTATACTTTATTACTATCCCAATGTGAATATTACTCAGTAATTTATTATGAACATCTGTAATACTTTTTAGATTTCTTGGGTTTACTTTATTTAACATTAATGTCTCCTATAGAAATTTGCAACGTGGGAGGTCAGGCACAGGGCCAAATCATGAGCACAGTATACAAAACCAAATAAAGTTTATCTTAGAAGGCCACCTACAAGATAAACTCATGGTTTATAAAGGGTCTACTTGTTACAAATAAAACTCACCTATAAATCTGAATATTGTTTCAGCTACATAAGCAAGAAGAAATCCTTACTCTACTTTTTCTTAGTCTTATTTCTAAACCAGAAAAAGAGAAACTGCCAAATTATTCAGGACTTCCCTCTCCCCAAATAAGGTGAAGTTGCCTATTGAAATGTTGAAATGTTGGCTATTTTGAATCACTTATGCTGTTCACAAGCAGGTAAAAAAATCACTTATGGAACTGCAATAATGGAGATGGACCTGGCATTCTTTTCAACAACATATCAACTAGCTATGCTCTGGACAGACACCATCCATCTTCCCCACAGTTTCTTGAGTGAATACTACATTCACTCAGCATGGAGTAGCATGTTGGCATACCAATGTCATTAAAGAATAACATTTATCCACATAACTTTATAGAAGGTAAATTAGATTTCTTTTTCTGTTTGAGATCATAACTAATTTAAGAATTTAAATTAATTTAGAATTTTAATTAGCTAAGAATTTTTAGGACATACAAAAAAGAATAAAGTAGAAAATATGTCCTTGGTATTTCATTAAGTTATCTTCTTGTTAATGCTTTTTTCAAACATTTAAATGTTTTTATTTTAAATTTACTCAACTTTTCATTGGTTTGATATAACCTCACTTGACATTCCTTTAAACATTTTAGATCACACATACACAAAAAGTTAATTTATATTTAAACAGGTTACTAAGTTCTAATACAAGATTTACATTTTAAATCTGCTATTCTTATACAAAGATATAAAAATGAAAATATGTGCATATATAGAATAGTAATAACACAGGTAATCTCGTCGTTCCTATCACTCTACCATCTGTCAGTCCAAAACCAAAAAACCAACTTTTTGCCAACAAATT